TGATTAGGTGTTGTTTATAGCCGCATGTTGTGAATTGATGCTCCAGATTTTCAATGTGTTTATTCAGTTCTTCATTGTTGGAACTTCTGAGTCTAAGTGCTTGCGAATAGGGAAGATTCTCTTTGAGGTGTTTAGGGTGGGAAGACTTAAAGTGTTGATAATTGTGGGTGTCGGTGATTTTAGTGCCTAATGTTGTTTGTAGCTTCCTGTTTTCATCTATGTAAATGTGGGTGTCTAAAAATGTTACCAATCTTGTGGATTTTTCATAGTCAAACTTAATTGAGTCATGCACTGTGTTTAGGGCCATGAGAAATTGGATAAGTTTGTCCTCACTGCCCGTGTATACAAAAAATAGTTCATCGATATATCTTGCATAGAATACGCAGTCGCTACCGATGAGGGGATAGATATGGGTATCCTCAAATTTTCCCATGAATATTGAAGCATATGAAGGAGCTGCAATGGTGCCCATGGCACAGTCTCTTACTTGCAGGTAGTGTACTCCATTGAAATTGAAAGTATTCAATGTAAGAATATGCTCCATGAGCTTTATGATAACTTCTGTGTGTGTGTGGGGGTCTTGTTTTCTTCTTTTAGTAAGTGCTTTCTGAAGGGCGGTTAGCCCTTCGATGTGTTTAATGTTTGAATAGAGTGATCTTATATATATATATATATATATATATATATATATATATATATATATATATATATATAATTATTTATTTAAAAATTATAACATAAATATGTTATAAAATCACTAAAAAAAGTAGTGATTTTATAACATATATATATATATATATATATATATATATATATATATATATATATATACATAACATATACATATATATAGATGTTATTGTATAGGCTATTCAGTAGTCGATATAACAATTTGAAACATAAAGGTGCCACCTACTCAATAATTGTTAGGATAATGCAATAGTCCTTCTACTTCTGAATATTCAAATAGTCAAGCCAAATCACGAAACACATACGGAATCCCTGTAGGTCTGTGTCGAAAGAAACTGTTTAATAATGTTCCAAGAAGATTCTTCCTTTTATATTCAATGATCGATGTTCGATCGCATTATTTAACTAATAAAAGCATTTTAATTCACATAGTCTTCACTTTAATTCAGGTACATGTCTATTTGCCATTAATAAAATAGAAGAAATTTAGTCATGAAAACTTTGACCTCCATGAAATCTTACATCGTGTGCACACACACACACACATAGACACATTGTCATATAAGAATAAAGTGTCGCTGAAATAAGCAGACACGTGACCATAGAGGAAACGCATATATAGGAGGTCACATGTGTCTAATTGTTCACCAGTTCTCGTCTATCCTCTATCACTATACGGACCGCTATTCTCTACTCTATTCACTATACTATTTCTTTGTTCAGAACACTATACGAGTTACTTGTCGAGCGAGTATTATCGAGCAAGTAATATTAGTTCGGGTGATATTCGAAGGCGTCTGACATCAGTATTGTTCAACAGCGTTAGTATAGTTGCATCTGTGATTATAAAGTCTCTCTTTTATATTAAATAATATATGTTTAAATAATGATCTGCTACCCCAACACAAAATATATACATCTATATATATATATATATAATGAAAAGGACCAAGTCCGACAATTATTTAAACATATTTTCTGATTGTACGTTATTCTTATACATAAAAATATTTAAGTAAATGCTCTGTTCATAATATCTCCTACACAAACCGTCATTTGTCATGACGTGCTATACCATTTAGCTACAGAGGAAGCGTCTGGTTAGCAAAATTAAATTACTTATCTTAAACAACAAATGTTTCCATTATTTTTCTCGAATGATCATATCCGCTCGAACGTATCAAATGGCAACATATATTTGGAAAGGACTAAGTCGGAGGACACACATTTTTCTATGAAATTTCTCGGACATATTTGTATCTATAAAAATAAAGTATTAACAGAATATATATATATATATATAACGTCATCCACAGACAGACTGTTTCGCTGTTTACAGATCATCAGTGTGGCTAGACATCCGGTTGCCTCTAGCTAGGATCAGAAACCCGGCTGAATTGGTGTCAGTCAGAGCTTCTAACCACTAAGCCGTCGGCGCACGGTAGGGATGAAGATTTTAGCATATTTATTTTTAGAAACATGCCCAGTGACTGACAGTGACTCAATTCGCTTTCGTGAAGAGTCTCGCTATATAGCTATAATAGTCACTGTTTACGAACCCACAGCTATATATATATATATATATAAACGAATTGGGGTCAAATACGTATTGAAAACGGATAGAATAAGGAACAAATAGAGAACGATTATAAATTTAACATGTTTCACTTTTATTTAAGCTTCAGCAGCATTTTTGGGAAATGAGTTCTGGAAGAGAAATTTTTGTTATACACAATTGAAAGTAACTAGATTTTTTCCTCCATAACTCATTTCCAAAAAATTCTGTTAAAAAATTCAGTACAAGCGAAACATGTTAACATGTTAATTTTATAAACGTTTCCTATTTGTTCCTTATCATATATATATATATATATATATATGTGTGTGTGTGTGTTTGTGTGTAACTGTGTTTTTGGCGTAACTGAACACACTTGGTCTAAAGATCAGACTGAAGTGTGAAACTGACGAGCATGATGCAGCGTTGATTTCTATGTTCTTTCTCTCTCTTGCTTTCACTCCTACACACATACATATTGTCTCTTTTTATATATATATATATATATATATATATATATATATATGTATCAGTAAATAAAAATAATCACATAGAAATTCTCATTCCCATCATTTTGCTGAATAAATATTTAATCAGTTCATTTTTTCAATGAAAATTGAAAAAAAATCTTATTTTTAAATATCTGATTAAAATGAACTGGCTTTGGTGTTTCTTCTATTTCAGCAACTCAATCATTTTTTCCACTTCAATATCAAAGATAAGACAAAAGAAACCGAAGAAAAAACGGCTACAAAACGAAAAAAAAATCTTCGAATTGATTCCAACTAAATAAATCGGCAACCATATAAAAACGCTCAACATTCAATTTCAATTTATTCGTTGAATCTGCTTCAGTTGACAGGAAGTTTCTTTCTTACATTCGGAAGTCATACCTTATAGTTATCGTCAAATGATAAAATACGATTCTCATATTGAATAACAGTAATGTAGAAACATCTAACATGATTATTTAGTTGGTTTTGCTGATTTTAAACGTGATATTTTAAATACGATATTACTTTCAAAGATTTTAATATATTTATACATTTTCTGGAGAAGGAGAGACATTTTAGCTAAACATATTTTTTAAATTGCATGTCCCTTCATGAGGCAAGCGTTTATGGCTCCACATATTCATTTTTCTTTAATATCTGAAAATTGCCATGTTTTTTTTTTTTTTTTTTTTTTTTTTTTTGAAAAAGATAGCAGTGTCATTCCCCGCTTCCTTCTCTACGATTTGGAATAAAGTGTTTTCCTTGTATTAGACTGGTTACTACTCAAGGCTAAAGATATCAGTATACCCTTCTGTTTAACCTGTAGTTGAGGAGTGAATAGAGGAAGTGAAACTTTCCTCAAGGCCATTTGTGCAAAAGTGAACACAATAATTTAGGAAGGAATTTGATCTAAGTATAGCAAGTTTTTAATAGAAGACTACAATAAAGACATTCATCGCTACAGAAATCAATGTTGTCTGCTTTTGTTTCCAGAATGATTTCATTTCCTTTCCACTTCACAGGAGAACGTTTTATAAAATTCTGTTTTCGCTCGACTAAACGTCGACGTTCAGGTTAATGAAACCATTAACATCAATTTTTCACCTGAAATAAAATTACAAGAAAAAAAAAATCAAAATCATACTTAATGGTGACAGATTTTTGTTTTGAAGGTGAAATTCAAAATAGAATTTAGTTAGCGGAAACTTATAAAGGCTTTTGTTTTCGTTTTGTGATTTTTAAGACTTAAACGTGATTGTTTTTTTTTTTTTTTTTAATTCTTCTCGGAATAGGACAATCGATTCGAATTTTAATCATTGCAATTACGTGGTTCGGTGCAATCAATTTGACACGGAGAAAAAATGTTAAATAATTATCGACAGAATTTGCAATCGGAATAGAAAGAAACTTCGACAACTGATCGATAACGATCATTCGATTATCTTGAATAATTGATCAATGATTTTTATCACTTTTCTATTTTCTTATTCATCAAAAATCGTCCTCGCAAGTTTCTTCAGACATTTAGCAAATTGTCGATGCAGTGGCGTCGCTAGACCGCCAATAGGAAGAAGAACAACTATTGAAAATCTTGCTTAAGAACGTGGGAAGCATTTCAGAACGGAGTATGAATGGAATATCCTCAGGGCTTTTGACTAAGGAAATAAAACAAGTTTAAATAATAAGGCAGGAACTATGTAATTAACTGAGATGCTAAAAGTGATTTTACTTATGGAAACTTCGGATAGTTTTTTTTTTTTCATCAACAAGATAAATGAAGCCAAAATAAAAGGAGGATAATAAAAAATGGCAATGAAGCACAAAATGATAAGAGAACGAAAAAGAGTTAGAAAAGTTTCAAAGCACAACTCAAAAGCTGTTATTTTAGAAAAGGAAGATCAAATTGTGAAGAATGTAATTTCAAACGGATTTTCCTTGGAAAGAAAAAGAAAATCTTCATGTCATTCATAGCTTTCTTAATTCAGGTTGAGTGATTCGTTTTTTTTGTTTTGTTTTGTTTTTTGTAGCTTATAAACTCTTTGCAGGTTATTTAATGCTAGAAAATATTTTTAGATTGTAAGAATTTTTTGTGGATATAATAACGGTTTACTGATACAAGTCTTACTAATTAACCCATGGCTGCGAGAAGAAGTGAATTCATATTTTTCCCCAGGGTATTTGCGCGTAAGTGAATATAACAAACCCAGCTGGAATCGGAACTCGGCTCTCCGCTTAGCTATGACACCAGCCGTATATCCAAGATTACAGCACCTGGGATTCCCAAGCGGTCACCCATCAAGGTACTGACCAGGCTCGACGTTGCTTAACTTCGTTGATCGTATGGGAACCGGTGTTTCAACGTTATGCGACTATAATTTTTCTTAATTCGGGTCACATGGTAAAATTTAAGGGAAGTGAAAATATAGCGGTCGGATTTCTGATCCATCAGTCAGGTGCCATTACGTGGTACATGCTTTGGCCATCATGACTATTACGATTTATGACTGACTAGTTAGAAGATTTTCTTGTTGCCATTTCTTTTTGGGGTAGACCGTTTGCCAATCACGGCTACAGAACCTAGTCTATCCTGCTATTCAACCCATAGCTTGGGGAGAAAGGATAGATTCATACCTTTTCCAAGGGTATTTGCGCCTAAGTGAATGTAACGAACACGGCTGGAATTCGAACTCGGCTATCCGATTTCTCATGCCGAGCCATTATCCATTACACTATACCGCGCATCCATATCAGACCCATAACTGTCACTTGATCCCCAGTGTTTATCAAAAAGTTCATCTGGTATGCATAATTAGTAGTAGTTTATCTAGTGAGATAATTGTAGCGCCCTGTTTTGTCAAAGTTTGGAGGTGAGACAGGCGTGACTTCTATCTGGCTGGATATGAAAATCATCTCCGTAACATCTTTGAAGATTTTGGAAGACCTTCAACAATTTCGTGAGTTAGCACAGGACCAGGAGATCTGTCAAAGGACTGATAAGAGACCATTTACAAGCTGAAGACGAGGAATCGCACTAACTTGCAGAGCGGCCTCAAGTCGAAACAGCCCCCACCTGATAATGACTTTAGTAACGGAATTGTTCCAAAATTTGCAGAGTTTCCAAAGAACAACTGGAGCGTTCGTATATCTGAAGAAGGTTCAACGAGCAGTAAAAAGCTAGGAAAAGCTATAAGAAATATGCTACAAATCAGAAAACGATAACAAGCAAACAAATCTAAAATCAAATATAAAAACAGAATCGCAAAAATTCAACCAGAGCACGGAATATCGTTGTAAAAACGAATGATTACTTAGAGGATAGGCTTCCCTTATGCCTAGACTTTTGTTAAACATTCATGATCACAGACATTTCTAATATACAAGATTGTTCGGAAATTAGCTGGATACTCCCTGGGCAGATTTCGTAGTGTTGTGTAGGAACCTACCATCCCTCTTGAAGATGAACTCGTCTACAAACAAGGACGTTAAATAGTGGCATGTCAAAAGACAGTGTCGGAGAAAGTTCTGGGCTGAGTTAGTTATATCCTACTCAGGCGATTTCTGTACCAACTTACCAACCGAATAAACCCCATTTTATTGTTACATGTTATTTGGCGTTTGTCTTTATTAAACCCAAATTAACATCATAACACGTAGTCTGAGAAACAATACCAACTAAATATTCCTTAAGGAATATAGGATAACTATTACAAAAAATACCATTAAAAGTCCTGGAGCCGAAAAGATTCCCTTCATGTGAACAATAATCAATGGCGTCATGGTTTTAAATTCGGAAAAGGGAAGAAACGTCAATGTTTGAAATTATAATCATGTTAAACATCTGGAAGTTGTTTTAATTTAAATGAAGCCTCAGGGAGAAAACGAACTTGTAAAAGCAGAAAAAAAATGACATCTTTCGTTAAGGGGGCGATTTTCATTAGAAGAATTTAAAACAACTTTCATAAAACAAAACAACAAAAAAGGCTCTTGTTCGAAAAAAAAAACCCTCAAAAAAACAGATAAAATCCTCAGGAGGTTAGTTGGATCCTTTCTTTTAGTTTCCACCATTTTGGTCTAGAGATTTAATTAAATTCGTTTCGAGTTATTGGAAATTTTGATTTTTTTGCATCTTTCTCTCTCTTTTTTTAACCTTATTTTTTGTTTATTTTTTACTTTCTATTTTTCAGGGTGTATTTGCTTTTAACAACTCCCCCCTCACTTTCTTACCTTTCTTTCTTCCTTTTTTAAAATTTTCTTATGCTTTTCTTCATTTCTATTCATCTTTCGTTTTCTTTTAATTATTTTAATCCGTTTTTATTATCTCACTCCATTTTCTCTAGTTTTTTGCTCTCCTTTTTATCTCTTTTCTTCTTTTACTCCTAAAGTTAGACGAACATTCCGTATCAAGCTGATGGTCAATAATTAAAACAAACGACAGGAATATCGACTTCAATGTAAATATTCTACACAAAAGGCTTTTACAAAGAAACATATCGCCAAATTCGCGCTGATCGGATCATTACAGATTTATTACATAACATAGTCGTTCTAAATCTTGTCACTGCAAAATGTTAAATCCTGTGATGATTGATTTCTTTTTGATCCTGCTGATGTGGATTCAGTTTTTTCTTTTTTCTCCAAAGTTTTTTTTTTTTTTTTTTTTGAAACTGGAGAAATGGTTTATGAAAATGTTGATGTTTTTCTACTTTCTCTCATGTAAGTGATTTTTTTTTTGTTTTTACAATTTTGACCTGGGTCGAAAACCTTTACCCTACCATACAAGCGAAGAGAGCGTTATATTATCACCCAAGTTTGCAGAATGAATAAATCATGTACAACAATCCCAAGTTCTAATTAATTGAAAACATTATTTGGATTTTATATTCAGCGTGTCGTGCGAGAGAAAACCGTTATCCTTAATCTGAAAAAAAGTGGAATAAATTTAGAACAAATGTTCTTAGACTTCTAAAAGAAGTGCGCATTGTTTGAAGGATTTACATTTTATGTACTTATAAAATCTTTTTGAACACCTCATTCTATTGTGGCGATGCGTATACTTAATGATGGTATCAGTTATGTGTCATGCTTTTTAAACGCTTAGGCGATCATGTATCTTTCGTTACATGACTGACGAGGCAATTTTTTTCCCGCAGTATATTGCCATTTCTTCCTGCGGTATACCTGTTGCCATCCAATACGGTCTGTCCTACTATTTACCCATAACGATGGAGAGGAGAAGAGGATCCATACCTTTCCCAAGCACGTAAGTAAATGTAAAGGTTTCGACTGGAATTCGAACTCGGATATCCGTTTCTTCAATCCGAGCTGCTAGCCATTACCCCACCGTGCCTATGCTAATATATTTCTATATATGATCCATATATTTGTTTCCCTAATATGAGATTTCAACATTAGTACACATATTGTTGGAAAAGGAAAATTTCATTCAAATCTGTAGTCAATTTATTTAGTTTAGCGGAATTCGTATACAGACGAACAGTGTAAATGACTATTTGGCGACTTAACTAAACAAGACTTATACTTAGCTTACAATCTCACGGTTTTTTTCTTTCGGTAAGAAATAGATTGAGGTTCAATTCTACATATAACCGATTTTATTCCGTTGGCAAAACGTGATTAAATTGTCTATGACAACTAAATTCAGCGCCAGGAAACTTTTTTCTGAGTTTCTCTTTAATGGCTTCGTTTCTTTCTGATACTATTAAAATAACCAATGTTGTCCCCTTTCTTTCAGCTCATTAATGTTGACATTTCCTTCTCTCCTATTTGAGCTTTCATTGCAATAATCTAACCGGCTGGGGTCATCTCATACCCGTTTTCATCTTGTTAGGCGCCTATTTTAATATATGTCATTAGTTTCTCTTTGAGTTACATGTGCTATCCATTTTAGTTGTTGCTGGTCTTGGTAGTCTTCAAGTAATGCGGTTTCTGTTATTTGGTACAGTTCTTTGTGATTGTGTGGCGCCAGTCCCAAAAGCTCAAGGAAAAATGATCTTCGCAAAGAGCCACGAATGGATTTTTTAACCATAAATCTTAGAAATCGGTTGTATACAGCTGACAGTTTGGATATTACTGAACGAATTTGGCACCATGCATGGCATCCATAAGAATGTCTCGATTTGGAGAGGATATTTAAGAAGACTCGAGTTTCCAATTTAATGTTTTGCTTTTGCTGCAATTTGCGAAGTTGGGCAAACTATATATTGACTAGCAGCATGGCCCGGCGTTGCCCGTGCTTGATTCAAAAATCGTACGGCTCATACAGCAATCGCTATCACTTGAATTAAAATATTTTTGCCCTTCCTTGCCTTTAAAGGAGTGCCCTTTGCCGTGCTGATGTTGCTACATGCCTTACTTCTTGCCTCTCTCACACTGCAAATTTTTTCTAAGCTCTATACTAAACATTAAATCTGTTACGAAAAAAGAACTAAACAAAATGAACACAAAACGATCAGCTTTAAAAAGGACTCGTAACTGGAAAAACCGAATGAAAAAATAACAACAAATTTTTCACACCCAACCCAGTTCTGCGGAATCAGAATCAATGTTGAGTTTAAGCAAGCGAATGAGGCAATTGGAGTAAAGTGCCATGCAGATTTAAACTTTTCCCACTTGTGAAGAATTTTTCTATCGATTTTTTTTTTTTTTGCGTGCTGGCATGCTAGTTAACATTCGTGTCAGTCAGCCGTTGGCTCTCACGCTGGCCAATAGAATCTTCCTGCCTATTCGTGGCAGCTAGCTATAGGCTCTTTCTCTGGCCAGTAGAAAATGGCCGCAAACTACATGAAAACTGCCGTAGAAGCATGACAAAATCGATTATTTCCACTATCGGTGGGAGTTGGGAAATGCAAAGTCGGTCTTTGCCTTTTTGCTAACTTGGAGCATGTGCATGTAAATTTTGGCGCAAATCCGTCGAAAATTGCGGACGTGCATTCGTTACACACACACACACACACACACACACACACACACACACACATCCTGCCTTTTATAGATAGATAAAATAATATAGATAAAGTATCAGTATATAATAAAATACCAAAATATAATATTGATAAAATTAACCACATTTTGTTTTCTAATCCTATATTGATGAGATATTTTATTTAACAGAGTATAAGTTGCATTTTTGGATGAATTTTCAGAAAGATAGCAAAATTCAGAGGTTATAAAAAGTGAATGCATTAGGTGACTGTATAAGAATTGACTATATTCAATTATAGTCATTGCTGTTCAAAAGCAAGTGTTTATAGCGTCCGTTTTATAAGACGCAGAAAAAAGCCACGTCTAATACACGGACAACAGTGACAGCATGTTTATCGGAGTTACTTTTACCAGTCAGA